AGTTGCTTACTAGAAATATAGTAACCTATTCGTATTAAAACTGTTGTACTAGGCACTGTTTACCATCTACAACCGTATATCATGATCGACCAGACTTCCGTTGAATTGATGCGGTGGATGGAAGTTTGGGCAGAATTATGATTACTGAGCATTGCTGTAATGATAGGTTTAGTCTTTGACTTGAGCTCATCAATCACAGTTTGCAATTTAGAGTTTTGCAGTACTGTGATTTGTAAATACCGCAATCAGTGGGTATGTTTGGATTCACAAATCACTATTGCATAATTTTCCAGTTTATGCTAATGTAAGCTAAATATTAGCTGTAGCAAACGAATCTCTACCCTACTCAGTACAAACAGACAGTAGTTCTTTTTAATTAATTCCTGCAATCCCTGCTTATCTTCATAAATTCATTTTCACTGCACCCAACAGAATTAAAATTATCCACTCTTTCAACAAAACGACTTTAGATGTAATGCAAATTATGTGTAGGCTCAAAAGTGGAAAGTTTAACTTGATGCATAGCTGCGATTAAACTCCTTTACTTTCAGGTGTCTGGCAGTAACAGCATGTTCAGCGGATTCAGCATTGCAAGCTTCCGGTCTCTCGTTTCTTCTAATAACTCAATGGACAACTTTCTGCATCCCGCGATGTCCTTGAAGGACGACTTAAAACTTACCCTCGACGTTACCAGTGTCGGGCGATGTAAAAGCCGATGTTTTTGTGCCTCCTTACGGTTTTCCTTTTCAGCGAGCATAAGCAGCTTGAATTCTCTTTCCGATGGTCGTACACCCTGGCCTATTCCATGGTTGGAGGGTATATTTTTACCTGAATTCCCTAACAAAGGGCCTTTGATTTCAGCATTTCAGGTAAACACATTTTTAAATAGCATGGTTTTTAAAATCATGTTTCTATGCAGTATTCGTTTCTCATTGATGCAGTCCTTATTACTCATGCGACATTATTTTTACTGTTGTAAGATGATGGCAAGCTGTTGTCTTTCCTTTCTTTTATGTTACTTATGGCCAAAATGGAATGCGGTTTCAACGAATTGCCGTTATCGTTTCACTTTTAGACTTTCTTTAAATTTTCTAAAGTAAAGTAGCTCTGAATTCATGTACGCTTTAAATAATCATTTTCTTAACCAATGTCCAACTATTTCAGATCATCGGGATAATTGCGAAAGGAAAGTTTGGAACGGTTTACCGAGCGAAGTTAAAATGTGCCACCACTTCCTTTTTTGCCGTCAAAGTTCGATGCATTCCAGCGATAAACTTCACGCTGTAAAGGGTTTTTTAGGTGCAGAATAAGTCGCATGTTCTCTCTGAAAATGCAGTTCAGCAAGTGAAGGATGAAGTAACGATTCATGTGTGTAAAGTTTTCACATAATTTGACAAGCCATAAACGTTTTCTGTTTTTCGGCAAACTAAATTTAATGTCATAATTTTAATATGCCCTTGTATTCGCGGTTGCTTTCTTTTTAGCCATTGGTTTAGTTCACAACACAAAAGTTTGTTTCCAGTTCCAAATATTCTCATCCTTTTTCACACGATCGACGGCATGATGTTTTTCTTCTTGTCATTGTTTTAATTTTCATGATCTTTAACCCCTTTGCAAGGCTACAAATTTCTTAAGAGCCACTGTCCCCTCTGATTCCGCTATATCATGATAATAAAATGTCTACTGCATCGGCAAAGTAATGATTCCCCATCGACAGCAGACCTCGGTTTAGTTTTTTCTGCCATGTGATGTCCTGGTCACCGATGTTTCGTTTCCTTTCTTCTGGTTTTCATGTAATCAGCTGACGAACCACCGGTTTCCTCGTAACAGAACCGAACGATTTCAGCTTTTATTTCGGTCCATGAAGGTCAGCTGATACATGAATCTGAATGTTTTTGATACCTTCATGCCAATCGATTTTAAATGTGTTTTTTAGCCTTCGTTGCAGACAGTTATTCAGTCTCATTTCTTACGCTCTAATAAGTGCTACAGTTTCCACTCCATACACTTAACCTGACCTGATTGCGGTAGCGTACAAATAGGTCTTGACGACGACTGTTACTTCTTTTATGATCAGGATTTACGAGAGGCTTTTAAGATGTATGACACCATCACATTCATTTTGTTTATGACCTGATTGCATTCATTCAAAAATCTAACTTCGATGTATTTAAACTGCAGGACATTAAATTAGTCATTGGCGCTGTTTCTATAGCACCCTTTCGCTTCCACAGCTCTTTCTCGGTTTGTTCTCATATTTGCCTTCGATGGACTAGAATCAAAGACCCCGCTTTCTTTACATTTGTTGACACTGTTTTAGTTAGGTAGTAAATGTTAGTCACTGTCACCATCCAGAGTGTCAATTGTGTTCGCACGAAGACAACGCACATGGCTAAACCAAGTTAACAAGCGCTTCCTGAAAAATTGGGACAAATCTTTGAATTTTTCTTGTTCATCGAAATTTTTTAGAGACTGCTTAGTGGTCTATCTTTCGTCTGTAATCTCTACGGCACCTGGCAAACTCGTAGCCAACTTTTCATGGGTAAGTTGCTCTGTTTGAAATCACAGTTTTTAACAAGCTGCGCTTTAGCGCTTGAATACGTTCCAGGTTGTTGCGATTTACATGAATTCTGGTTTGAAAACAAACCTCTTTCAGAAAAGTTGGTGAAGATATGGGCCGCAGAATTGGCAACTGTTTTGAGTATAGTTTGAAACTTGCTTTATTTATAGAAACTTAAATATGTTTGTTAGCAAACTGAAGCTCTGCCCTCAGATACTGAAAAGTTTAAATGAATATTAAGGTTAAGTTCGAATGTTAGTCTCTGATGTAGGAAAGAGTGTCCATGTGTATGTGGACGACTCGTGGCTTTTTTAGTTTTGAACAAGCTAGAATGATATTAAGAAGATTTGAATACGCGACTACAGCTGAGAAATTATTTTGTTTTGAAAGGCAGTGTGAAATACAGCAGTGATATCGATCTTGACAATAATCTCTATCTGACAGTTCAGGTCATCAACGTTGAACGATTTCATATAATACAATTGTATAAAAACTCTGTTTTTGCCGAATCAGAGCTCGGATGAGAAAGGAGAACTATAAAGGATCGTGGCGTAGTCTCAGGTAAAATTTTGCCACCCGCCTTTCATGATATTGTCGCTATCGAACACTCTACCGGCTCTATCATCTCCCGGGTTAACAAGTCCAGGCTGAGTCCTAAGACCAGGCTCTCTGCAGTCAAGTCGATTCTTAATTTTGTTTAACCTTTTGAATCACTGATAATTAAAGTGTTCAGTAGAAGATGTGCAAAATGA